GAAATGCCCTCAGCCTGGCTGGGGCTCGCCTTCAGGCTGAGGCTGCAGTGGGCAGGGGGCGGTGCAAGGCACTGGAGGTAGAGAAATACGGGAATATTTCTGAAAGGCGTAATTGTCCGTTAGCATTTTTCCCTAGATTTTCAAATAGTGGTGTACGTAAGGCGTGCTAGGTGTTGGGTTTTTTTGTCTGCTTGTTTCTTTCTTTCGAGTCTTTAAATTGATTAGTTGTTGCTGAGGGTGGTTAGAGGAAGGTTTTATCCGTTCGCTGACTTTGCAGAAACCGAATGTGTTGAAAATGTCCTTTTGCCTAGATCCACGATTCGGAGTAAGCGATTTGTGCTGTGTGTTAGTAACTTTGAGCCCTCTGGGAGCAGGAAACTCCCAAAGCCGGTCAGGGTGGAGGAGGAAGGGAAAGAAAACATAGGTTGTTAATCCAGGATTCAAATAACAAAAACCTTCCTTCCCTCTTGCTTGTTGACTTATAAAGTGCAGAGACCTTGCACATACAGAGCAGTACGTTTACTGTTCACATGCACATACAGAGCAACAGTGTTTGCTGTGTGGAGTCTGCAGTATAGGGTCATTCTCTCAGGCAGGTGGTGGCAGATCTGCAGGTGTGGTCCTCGGCCCAGAAGCCAGGTCTGATGTTAGTAGACGCTGTGACGACGCTTTGTTTAGTAACCTATCATTTAAGATGTCAACGCTGCCAGAACTGAGGAGGAAAATGTAGATAACTCTTAATCCTTAAGCAATCTCTGGCTGTCCTTCCAGTGTGTTGCAGGCATCCCACTCCAGCTCCTTTTCCCCATGCTTACTTGTGAGGACTCTGGAGCAGTGTCTGGTAAAGAATTTCCTGTGTAAAAGTGTTTCCACATAAACGTTTGACCTGATTCGCCTTAGACGTGCTGTCTTCTTGTGTCGAAGTGATGTTTCTGTATTTGCCTCTTCCACAACTTTTGTACTGGATAGAATGGTATATAAAAATGTCAAATAATGCATTGCTGACAGAGGACAGTCTATGAACATTGGCACATGTCAGCAGTTCCATAAACGCTGGTGACAGTCCTCAGTCGGGTTTCATCTTCCCCTTCCCTTTTTGTTTGCAAATAGAGAAAGGGTATACTTCTGGTTACCTAAATATTAATGGTTTATTTTAAAATTCTGATGTCTTAATTGCATTAGTCAAAGACCTTTTTTCAGCAATTGCATTGTCTAACACCTTTGTTAAGTTAGTGTTGCCTGAATGAGTTAAGTTGACGCAAGTCGCGTATCTGTATACCAAATCAGCATTTTGTAACTATAAATGATGATACTCAGATTGTCTGTATTTGTTTTGTTTAGGCAATGTTCAGTGACTATCAGTGACTTGTTTTCTGATGAACATTCTTGTTTTCTAGTTCTGTGAAATATCCACACTGCTGGCATCAAGAACAGAAATGTAGAAGCTGGAATGATTCAGACTCTTTGGTGTTTGATGAATATCAGTGTAGGCATTTAGACCAATGGCTGGAGAGGTAAGGAATAAATGTGAAGTTTGTTTAAATGTTCACTTTGCTGCATTCTTTTCTTTAGGAATCCCGCAAAACCTTGGGCGTGATTAAATTAAATGTTTTCTAATAATACAGTAGCACAGAGTTAGCAAATGATATCTGTATTATGCAAGAGTAGACCATTCCATTTGGCTAATTGAAATACATGCCATAATATTAGCAAGTATTCCATATGAAAGAGAGAAATGGTATATACTGAGGCAGTAGTTGAAGCCCTTTATTGCTGAAGCCCTCAATATTAGTATAAAATTCCCATTGAAGCAATATGCTATTACTTTTTATTCTTTGCTTATGTATCTTTATATGTAAGTCTGGGCAAACCATGATGTTTGTCTCTTCACTTGACAGTGCACTCGGTATATTCAGCTATACTGCAGTTTTTAGTAAATACCTTTTTTGTTTTTTTGTAATCCAGTACAGATAACAATTTGATATAAGATCCAATTTTATAGGTAGGTAGTTCTAGGAGTATTTTGGTTTGCTTTTTTATATTCTAGACTAAAGACCTAAGGTGGAGGAAGTGGTTAAGATTGGTATCTTAATGTCTGACAGGAGGTGTGAAAAGTGGTGAGTGCTTGGATATGTGCAGAAAACTGAGTAGAACGTAAGTTAGAAGAGATGAAATATTTCACTGAGGGCATGTGAACGCTCTTTTTGTATATAACTTATACATCTCTGAGTATTACATTATAGGAAAGCAATTGTCTTTTCTGATGGCATGTTTAATATTCCTTCAGTTAATAAATGAAGAGCTTAGGAAAGCCTTTGTATTCAGGAGTGTTTTCTATGTCTTTGATGCTATCATAAAAAAATATTAAGTGTGTTGTGATTGTGAGTCAAACTGGATGTGCTAGCAGCATTTTGTATTTCTCTTGCTGAGTAGGTATGTTCTTTAGTGTGGAATGAATCTCTGTCGTGTTAAAATGACATTGGCAGCATGGATGATAATATCTGGTGATGTGAAACTGCTTAGGGAAAGTAAGACTATAAGCTAAATCTACTTTTTATTACTTATGTTAAATGTTGTGGCATTAACATTGAAAGTAGACGACAGACTGAAAGGAAAAGTTTTCAGCGCTTTAGAGTATTACAGCATTATACAGTTTTTATTTATTATATTTTTTAAGTTAATGAGGAACCTGGTGTTTCTCCACTCAGACAACATCAGTGATCCAACTGATTATTTAAGAGCTTTCTGACTTACTTTTTGGCTTTACGTAGTGGAGTTTACATACTTGAAATGATTATGTTGGGATATGATGGTGTCTGACAAAATGTTAGTTCGGCTCATGTGATGGGCATTTTTCCATTTCTTAAGCATTTCCCTGGTCCTTTACAAAGTCCTTAGCTGATGACAGAGAGCAGTGATTAGACTGATTTTGACCTCAAGTAATTTCATGAATTGTGCTCTTTGATGGAATTGCAGTATTGAGAAGCTCCTCAAGTAATAGAGCGAAGTATTCGCATTGGCTGAGCTGGCAGTGTTTTAAGAGATTGTCAGGTCTGTGTTCTGAATTGAAATTCAGTTTGTGACCATTTTCTTTCCCTGCGAAGTAAAACTGATAGTCTTAAATCACTACTGAAGGTGACTTGAGCTGAAGTGTTTTGATTTGTTTGACTTTGAAATGAAATAGGATAGGGCCATGCCCATGGTGTTACAGTTGTGGAGCAGTTTTTGTCCACTATTGAAGTTCCTGTTCATTAAATATGTTATGAGCAACAAATGTTCATATTGAGTTCTCAATTGTTTTCTAGCTCTGCAACACCAGAACATTCTAGGCCTCTTTCTAGTTGCCCAGACTGGGAAGGTAGAACTGAAGAAGGCAAAACTATGAGGACATCAAATAAAAAAATGACACAGTAGGTATTGAGCAATTATTAACTGTTGTTGCTTTGGTTTTAGCAATAACCATCTGATGATCTCCAACTACTTTACATGCATTAGTGAAGATTTGAAACGCAGCCAGGCTGTTTCATATCAGGCCTGAAGGAAGCCGTAAGGAGAAAGTAGCACTGAGAAGTCTTATCTCAAAAGCTACTTGTATGATCATTTCAGATTCTCTTTTTCAGCTTAAACTGCATATTCATTACAGCTTTCCATAACAGAAAATACTGGAATAGTGAAAGGAAAAATGAAATTCAGCCATCATGGCTTGGAGAGAAAAAAAAAATGGCTGTTAAGGTCATTCAAGCTATCCTCCTTTATATTATCCATCTTTGTTCTACTGAGTTTAAGATTTTTCGTATTTATATTAGAAGGTTGTTACACATATAAGCAATAATCATGTATCATTTGATTTGCTTGCTGTAGGACTAGCTGTAAGCTTCTAGTAAGGCAGCTCTAGCACCAGTACCCTCATGTGTATGTTTACTTGTTACAAACCTGAGCAACTGCATGAACTTGCAAAACCTTTTGTAGTGATTCATTTGGTTAGTACAACTTTCATTTTTGTAAACTAGTGAAGTAGGAGTTGTGCTTACTGTCTGTCAGAGTAAGAATGCATGTAGTTCTAGAGTATGTGTTTATATAACTTGTAAAGTTATTAAGGTTCCTTTCAACTTAATTCTAATTTTTATTTTTAAGTTCTGTTTCAAGTGATTCTGCTAATCCAGCTGAAAGGGAAACAGATGAAGTGGTTCTGAGGAGAAGACAAAAACAGATCAATTTTGGAAAGAATACCCTTGCATATGACAGATACATTAAAGAAGTTCCAAAGTAAGTTGCACTGTGTTGCACATTTCCAAATAAACTCTTACCTATGTCCTGATGTGCGTGTAGATGAGCATACAGCTTTAGTTCTCTTAAAATTCCATGAACAGTAACTGAAGAAAACTTAAAATCAGTTGATTTTTGTCAGAGAGAAGCCAGGTATTTTCTGCATAGGAGCAAATTTAGATAGGGAAAATTTAAAGCTAAATGTTTTCTTTGTGTATTGCTGTTGCCAGTAGCAAATATACTTCAAATAAACTCTGTATTAATCACCTCCCTGTGATGCTTCTGGTGACTGTGTTGCTAGGCCAGTGTGAAGTTAATTGATAGCAGGAAATGACAGCTTTAAATGAGGACTGAATAAAGCCTTGCATTTAAGTATTGGTAAGGAAACCAGTCGTCAGTGATTCATCAGTAACTAACAAATCAAAACCTGGATTTCTTGCTTTCTCTGTTATTCCACTTTGGGCTTCAGAGTCTGTGAATTGTGGCACTTAAATCAAGATTTCTTAGCCAGCCCCCTCTGCTTACTGCAGAGCTGTCAAGGTTCAGAAACTAGTCTGTACTAATGTGTGGATGTGCATTTGTGTTCTTGGCTTTTTTTTTTGAGGGTTATTTTTAGAGGTGTTTTTCTAAATATGGCTTGCAACTTATAGTTGCCAGCTTTCTGTGGATTCTACCTCTAAGAGTCTGTTGTGGAAATTGCTATCCAAGTGCAGTGCACACTGCAAGCTTGTTGTTGAGCAAAACTTGAAAGATTAGACTAGATGATGAAAAATCAACAACAGATACTGTAAACGATCACAGATAGCATATCATCATCAAATCTTCAGTAACACTTTTTTCTTCAAGGAGTCTTGGATCGCTTTGTGAATTGTGAATTGCTTGTCACTTTGTCATCAGTGGTAGGACTGCAGCCACTCTTATGGTGATGCCTGGCACTTGCATGACTGTGCTGTGATCAGTTAAATGATAGTTGGAGAATAGGAAAGGATGAGAACAGCGTTCAGAAAAAACATGGGATAAACTTAAAAAAAAAAAAAGTGTTCTGGGTGGCATTGTAACAGGGTGGTTTAATCCTGTTCCTTAGCAGGATGTGTTTATCTTAGAAAAAGTGCTATGGCTAAGTACATTGATCTGTGAAGCTGGTAGGGGGAGCCACCTGAGACCAAGGTACTTGGTATGATTTAAAACATTATTGTAATATGCTTCCTTCCAGGCATAAAGCTGACTCCAGTATGGTAGGACTATAAACAGGATTATTTTGTACTGAAGATACAGTTTAAGTGAGCTCTCCAGTAATGTTTGGTGGTCAGGATCTGTTTTGAGATACTACCTGAGAAATAGCACTTCCAGCCATGGGGTCATCCCAGCCAGCACTGTTACAGCGTCTGCCCAGTGTAGATTCAGTGGAAGGGCATATCATTTACATTTTACCCAGAGGATGAGGTGACTTTGTTTTCTATACTCCCAGAAGACAAATGCTGTTTAGAATTACAGCAATCCCCATTGTAATAATGCGTGGACAATGGTGGAATAAAAGTTCACTGAAGATACTTGTGGGTTGACCCTTGCCAGCAGCCAAGTACCCACACAGCTACTTGCTCCCTCCCTCTCCCAGTGGGATGGGGAAAGAATAAGAGCAGTAAAATAGAGAAAACTGATGGATTGAGATAAGGGCAGTTTAACAGGTGAAGGAAAAAAAGGTGGAGGGAAAGCAAGTGATGCAAATGCAATCACTCACTACCTCCCACAGGCAGACTGGTGCCCTGGCAGTCTATGAGCAGCAACTACTTTGGAAGACACCTTCCCTTTTTCCTCTGCCCTGATTTTAATTTTTGAGCATGACCTTACATGGTGTGCAATATCTCTTTGGGTAATTTGAGTCAGCTGTCCCAGCAGTTCCCCCTCTTAACTTCTTGTTCACCCTCAACTTAGTGGCTGTGGGAGGGGGTGGGGCAGAGTGGGAAAAAGAGAAGGTCTTGAAGCTGTACAAGCACTGTTTAGCAATAACCAAAAATTAGTCTGTTACCAGCACTATTTTAGCCATAAATCTGAAATACAGCACTACAGGGACTGCTATGAAGGAAGTTAACTCCATCCCAGCCAGACTCAGTACAATACTAAATACAAAGAAACTGCATGTGACTCGGGAAAACTGAGATAGAAGTAGCTGGAGGCTGGGATACTATTGAAGGGGTATGAATTATGCTGCTTCTGTTTCATATTTTTCCATGGGCCCTAGGGATCTGCTTTTGGCATCTGTCAGAGTGCTGGACTGGAAGAACCTCAGGTCTGACTCAGCATGTTACTGTTAGTTGTTGCTTGTGTTGTCTGTTTTTGACAGTGTTTTAGAATATAGCGTTTCAGTTAAGTGTTTAAAAATATGAAAATTTTATTTCTTAGGCCGCTGATGCCTGTGTCATCTGATGGACAGAAGTTTTTTTTTTTTAAGCAGGAAAATCATGTTCTGAAATAATAAATGTTACTGTGTATTTACAGGAATCAGCGAATACCAGGAGTTCATCCTAGAACTCCCAACAAATTTAAGAAGTACAGCCGTAGATCCTGGGACCAGCAGATCAGGCTGTGGAAGATTGCACTGCATGCCTGGGATCCTCCTACTGAAGAAACCTGGGATCTGCAGCCAGTGTGTGTATGGGTGAATTAAGTCAGTACATGTCTCTTGCTTCACAGGAGGACTCTGTTTCCTTTAGAGCATTCCTAACTGAGTTGATCAGGCTCAGAAATGGGAGTCTCCTTGAATGCCTTGTTTTCCTTTTGAATCTTGTTAGTTATATCTTGAAGATATTCCCGTTATTTAGTCTAAATTCATCTCCAATAAAGCGTTTTGGGGAGGAAGGCATTTGGTCTGTCTGCAGTAGTACACTACCTTCACCTGTGTGTTTACACTGGTGAGCACAAGGTAAAATTATTTTTCTAGAAAGGGATAGGCATAAGCAGAAATTCAGTGATTACTGTTCCTTGACCTTGATAATCTTTCCATCTTCCCTTTTTCTGATGTCAGTGGAACCACCTTTCTCCTGCAGTAACAATATGTTAGAGGATTTGAGAAGCGTAAGAAGATTAGAGAGAGATTTCTGTGCTCTTTGCAGGAGAGTGGCAACTGTGTTCAAGATGGAAATTTTTTTTATCTTTTCAGAACTTTGAATTTCTCTAACAAGGCTAGCTCTGCTAAGTGACACCACCTAATACTTTACAAGATTTGGACTGGTAAATTGGGAGGAAATGAGTGAATGGAATTCTATTAGCTCTGTAACTGCATTGTGTAAATAGTTTTAGCTGTGTTGTAATTGACCTATGGTGGAAGTTGCAGTTGTTTGCACTGTTTGGATGTCATATGAAATGAACTGTCAGTTATTACTGCAGCTTAACTGTCTTCTGCTTGGAGTGCTAAGCCAGATGGGTAGTATTTTAAATCCTTTTTTCCTCCCCTGGTTTTTAGTAGTACAGAACCCTCAGGCAGTTCCCAGGAATGGTTCTGCAAAGACGAGGATTTTTCTGGCTCCTTTGTATTTGACGAAAAGCAGAAAAGAAATGAGGGTGAAGATGAATGTAGGCAAACTGACTACACATTGGAGAGGTATGAGATAAAACTTCTGTGGTTAACTTACTGAAATAATTCAATACGTGTTAATGCTGTCAGTTTTTTGTGGGAAAAGTTTAGTGAGGGAGGGCAGTTAATGCTTAGCTTCAGAGTTTGGCACTTTTGCTGTTGAACGTAATCCGTCACTGGTGCAGAGCATTGAATGCAGAATAATTACAAGCGTTACAGAATTGCATTATTAACAGCAGGAAAAGCAGTGTTTTTTCAGCTTGTCTGTTTATAGAGTGGAGTGCTGAGGTTTCTTTAAGCACTGTTGGCAAGTGCTGAAAGGAGGATACCTTTTTTAGAAGCAAGAGTGACCATCCTTAATTAATGGTATTATGCCCATCTGCAGACAGCAGGGAGACTTAACAGTGAAGCACCTCATGCACTTCCCTGATTACTGAGGTATCTTGTTCTGGGGAAATGCATGTGGAGCTGAAAATGGTTCTGCTTCCCAGTTTCTTCTGAGGTTATGACTGGGTTCACTTTCCAAAATATAGTGGAGTTGTTAACAAAATTTGAGCTATTTTCTGTGTTCTTCTGTTGTGCCTGAATAATCATACCTCAAAAAAGGTCTTCCTGTGTAGCATGTACCATTATTTTGCAGAAGTCTGATAAGCATTTAAACACAGATGAAAAAATGTTGTGTGCATAAAATCTGTCTTATTTTTGTAGCCCCTGTTCTCCCGATTCTTCTCCAGTATGGAAACGCAGAAAAAGAAACAATTCTGACTCCTCTGTGGTTTCACAGAGTAAAAACCATTATGTGCATATGTACCACACACTGGAAAGGTATGAAATGATTCTCCATATGGAGATATATGGATATTATGAACCGACTTTTGGAATATGAATGGTATTTATCCCTCCAATTGTTAAATAGTTTTAATTTTATATAAATGTGTGTGCAATTTAATGAGGAAGGGAAATCACGCCAGAATAATTGTGTTGTATGATAGCAAATATTTACAGTGGTCCATTGCAAAGGTGAAGAAACTTCAGTGTCAGAAGACACAACATAGGTTGGTTTTTGTGCGTAGATTTAGGCAGTGCTAATGTGTTGTTCTTGATTTCTCATGGAACATGGTTTGTGCTTCAGAGGTTGTAATTCTGAAATTCTTAGGCATCTGCCGTAGTTATTTCTCATATCTCTTACATGCACTGCATTCTGCTTTTTGGCATTCAGAGTGTGTACAAGTTGATGAACGTAATGGTAAGGGAATGAAGCTCAGTGTGCGCTCATAACTGTCAGCGAATACTGAAACTTGCTGCCTATTTAATTATTACCATGTTAACATTTGCTACAGGTATTACAGAGAATAAGTATTCATGAAGGGATATGAAAGAAGCTTTGTGTATTTTGATTAAGCTTTTCCCTGCCTTATGAAAGGTGGTATGGAAGAAAATGCTTGTTGGAACAACAAGGAATTGGTCACCCAGTCTGAGACTGGGATAGAGTGAGGTTAATGTTCAAAAATGGATAACAGAAGGGTAGAGTTCTTTAGGCTAACACCTTCATTATTCTAAGTTGTTCAGGAATTAAACTACTCCTCTAGTGATTGGTCTTAATCATATTTCCTTTTTTCCCCTTTCCTAGCTGCTGCATAAGAAGTCTTCCTATAAATGAGAAATGATAGGCAATGTAGAGGAGAGCATGGTTTAAACTCTATACAAAGTTTTGTCAGAACCACCAGAAAACTGGAACTATGATTTAAGTTTCTTGGGGTTTAGTAGACTTCTCACACTAACCTTAGTACAAATGTTTATACAGGTGTGGGTTTTTCTCTCTACTTAGCCCCCTTATCTTGAGAAGAATTAAGAGGAACTGTGTTACAAAGGTCCATGGTTTGAGACCTTTTCATTTTCTTTCTAGTCTTACTGAATCAGGACATCAGGAGGCTTTTTCAAAGTGCCCAGAGTGGGAAGCCTTTGGTGAAAATGATGAAGTAATGACAGTACAACATGGTATAGAAATAACAAGGTAAATACCATAATGATTGTGATTTTCTGTTTATTGCTTGTGCTCTGAAGGTGTCCTTTGCTTTTTTTTTGTCTTTCTTCACTGTTTAATACTATTCTTTTTTCTCTCCTTATGTTTCCTCCAACATGTGGTATGTTTGGTTGTTATTCTTGTTCTTTGAGTATACTTGGCTTTTTCCAGTCTGACTCTCCATCTGTTGTTTTCTGCTGCTTCTGCCATTAAGTAATGCTGAAAGAAGATGAGCCCTATTCACCCTTTTTGTTTTACGGAAAGCAATGGCATTGTACAGAATTGGTCCCCGTGGTTGTTACTAGCCTCTCACTTCCTCAGCCTAGGAGCTGAAAACTTCCTCTCTGTCTCCTTAGAGATTAAGTTGTTTTGTAGCTGACAACAATGATAGTTGTTTGTTTTTATGCAGTGACCCGATTCCAGCCAGTTGTTGTTCAGGATGGAACAATCAGAAACAGAAAAAAACCAACTTCTTTCTGCCTGACAGCAAAACTTGCAGAGATACAGACTGCAGGCTGGAGAGGTATAAAATGCAGCTCATCAATCAGGGGCTTTCTTTTGTGTAGTAAGTTAGAAGCATAGTTGCTTTATTGCTGCATTTCAATCCAAGCTTTTATCATAAACATTTTTTTTTAACTGTTAGGGATGTGTTGGTCAATATTTATATGTTGTGTGGTAAAATTCTGTCCTTATTTTCTCATGTTATAGTCTGTATTAGAGTAAATAGCAGGTTGTAGCTGTATTTCGTATAAAAATGTTACCATAATAAAGCCACTTCAGGGGGGTTTTTTTGTATTTGTAGGCTTAAACTTTGTAGCAGTTTATTGGAAGGACATCCATCAGAATACCCTGAAAGGGAATGGGGAAGTGCAAGTGCTGAAGATAGAATAATGAGGAAGAAAATTTAAATATTGAGGTGAGTTCATGCCGACTACTTATTTTGCCTGTTCTGTTTCAGTAGCCCATATGCAGTATCATTCTACAGAATCCGACTGTTCAGTTAAAGCAGATCAGTTGCTCTCTGTATCATATTAGTATTTTATCCCATCTTCTTGTGTTTAATGCAGCACCTCAATTGAAAGATCTAATATTTCAGGCTTAGTAAATTGAAATATTGACCTGTTCAGCCAGAAAACGTGTTTTATATTATCACCCAAATGAAAAGTACCAGGTTTTTTAATTATTTCAGTAGCAGCTTTTCTGCCTCTTAATATTTTTGTGATGGAGTCATAACTTTGCATTTGCAGCAGTAGATTTCAATGAAAATTTTCTCTTGGACTGTAGGTTCCTGTGGTGCATTAGTAGGATGGGTAGTAATCTCGAATCAAACAGCTTTTATTAGCAGAGAGTATTTGTGTAGCTTGATTGTCTCCGATCTACATTTAATGTAGGCTCTGAAACATCATGAACTAGGATATAAGTGTCTGTTTAACAGTGATCTTGCAATATTTTGCATAAGAAAACTCATTAAGAATATGGTATTAAGAATACAGTGCACAATTAGTTTTACACTACTTAAATTTTGAATTCTAGCAATATGAGGAAAAGGCAGGTGGAGCTTTTAAAAAATTGTGCTAATGGCATTCTTGTATTAACTTTATTGATTTTTAATTTAAATTCTTTGAGCATAAATAAGACTTAATATGGATTCATTTTTCTGAAGTGCTAATTCGATATTTGAAAATATCTAGTCTCTGTATATAGAAGGATGGAAGAAGAAGGACTTTCTGCTGTGACAGAAGACTTTGAAGAATAGGGATGTACTCTGAGATCAGCAGATGAAGTCTTGGAAAACTGGTGCAGTTGCGCAAGATCTGCACTGAAAGAGGAAGAGATTTACAGTCAGCATATGTGCAATCAGCATAAGGTGATATGTGCAGGTAAAAGAAGCATGCCTCTATACATCACAGTTAAGAGAGCCTTTCTCATCTTTTAGATAGTTGATATTTAGCTGCTTTGCAGTTGTCTCTGTTGTAAATAAGTCTCTGTTTAGGACTATATATTCAGTGGGTTCGTAATCACTCATTCTAATTGAAAAAATATCTTTGACATATAAAATGTAGAAAGTGAATTAAATAGCTTCTCTGTGGAGCAACACGTTGGTTTCCTGGAATGTAAAGATCAATACTTAGAGAGACGCTGCCTTTTCAAATGGCACAAACTTCATCTGTGGAAGGTGAATGTTGCTTGAAAACCAGATAGTGGGTTACATGGTAGAATTCCACACCACCTGCCTTTTTGCTAAAAGAAAATGTATGTCTTAAACAGGAAGAATAAATGTCCATAAGTTTGAATATGTCTGGTTGCTTTTTAAAGGAAAAAAACCTTAGTAGGACACTTAAGACATGGCAAGAATGTGTTAATTAGAATTGAGAGAAAAATGTATTTTATGAATTAATAATGACATTTAGGTGAAAAAGATGTGAGGGGTTGGGAAAGATAGGCTCAACTGCTTCATTTTCTCTTTGACAAATACTTTAGGAATATAGGGTATGTGGTACTCTTTGTTTTTACCATAATTTCTGTTCTCAAAGTGTTCATACGATCTATAACACTTTATTTAGTATGGACAATATGGCTTTGTCTTTTATACTGTGCTTTAAGCTCACCATATGTAGTGCTTTGTTCATTTACTGCTACTGTAACATTACAGCTTAAAAGAGTAAATGTTTTGCTGTTAATGACTAGATATATTGTATTTATAAAATGCTGTTATCTACCTTTTTGTCCAGGTTTCTCCAGATCTTTAAGGATAGATTGTTTTCTGCAAGCTCTGCCTCAAGTGCAAAACTTCAGATTTCATTAAGCCTGTGCTACAATGATGATGATGTTCCTTAAAGCTTTTGTGAGAATGTTTCTGCTGTACCTGCGTTGGCAGGTGATATGTACATCATATTGTAAAGGCTACTTCAGTTGATGGATCCTGCTGTTGCCATTTGGAGATCGTGCTACTTGGAGCGCACTAATGTCATGCTGGTGAATTGGTCCAATATTGAGTCAAACTGAAGAATTCCCCCCCTTAATCCAAGGAGTTAAACCCTGTTTCCTTTACTGGACCAGAATTGTACATCCAACCTGAAGAACTGCTTCAGAAGAATGTAGATAATTTCAACCTTTCTCCAGTTGTTAAAGACAAACTGTTCTTAGCTTTTGGATTGGGCGATCATCCATTTGGCTTATTTACCTTTCTCTGAGATAAGATACGTTAAACTAGCATTTGCCTAAGCCTAGTGAGAGAAGAGAAGGAAAAGGTAGATGGTTTATCAAAATCAGATCCCCAACTGTTTGAACAGCAGCAAAGCCTAAATACCTAGATTTTGCTTTTATGTGTGTTGCAGCCTGACCCAAAGAGCCAAGCTACTGCTAAGAGTATAAAGGATGAGTTCAGGGCCTGCTGTTCCTGCAGGAATGGGAGATGAGCAGCATTATTTGCAGGTTTGGAGCTGCCCTTGGGCATGGGGTGTCCAGGCTAAGGGTTGTGACAGTGTTGAGATAGGCTCTCCTTTGTTTTACTCTTCTAGCACTGTGATTAAGAGGTCAAAGTGAGGGATGTGGCTATAGTGGAGTTTAGACCAGATTCATGTACCAGTTTCAGGAATTTCTTGCAGTCCTTGTGGCATTTTATGTAGCATGTACTGGGGTAGAAATATCCACTAGAGCTGGGAATTGTCTCTTTGCAGGAGTTTGGTTTGGCTTTTCGCAAGGCCACTGCAGAACTGTGGCAGCGCTAGGGATGACACACAGCAGCCTTGCTGTGGGGCTGGTAGTGTACCCAAGGGCCAAAAGCCCATTGTGCTACTGATGTGGAAGTAAGCTGCTTCCCCAGAAACTACTCCCAGTCCCTTCCAAAACATTATTTCCAGGTATGCTCAGGCATGGGGTTCAGTAGTGTCCCAGCACAAGGGTGGCTCAGTCACACACCACAGTGTGGAGTGTGCGTATACAAGGAACATGTCTGTATGGCACTTTTTTAAGAAGTAATATTTAGAACCTTGTTGTTACAGTGTGCATGCTTTCATGTGGTTTATGATGATTGTAAATAAGGGAATGTGTAACATTTTTGGCATTTTGTCTTTATGCAAAATAATTAAACACTTTAAATTTAAAAGCCTTGCTAGTCTGCTTTTGCTGTTTTGTCAGTTTCATTATAAAGGAATATGTGGGTTAGTAGTCCTTTTTTTGTTTGTTTTAGGGTGTTTTATTTATTTTGGGTTTGTTGGGGGTTTTTTAAACCTTGTGTTTTGCGTTTGTGTCCTGGGGTTTTAGTAGCAGGGGTGGCTCCTGTGAGAAGCTCCTAGAAGCTTTGCCAGCTCCAAGTCGGACCCACCTCTAGCCAAGGCCGAGCTCATCAGCAACAGTGGTAGTGTCTCTGGGGTAATATAGTTAAGAAGGGGAACCTGCAGTAGGGGAGGAGATGAGAATGTGAGAGGAACCCTTCTGCAGATACTGAGGTCAGTGAAGAAGGAGGGGAAGAGGTGCGCCGGAGGAGGGGATGCCCTTGCAGCCCATGGTGAGATGGCAGGCTGTCCCGGCCCCCAGCCCATACTGGGGAGCAGGGGAGCAGATGCCCACCTGCAGCCTGGGGAGAGAGGAGCCCATGCTGGAGCAGGAGGATGCCCCCCAAGATGGCCAGGACTCCGTGGGGAAGCCCATGCTGGAGCAGTCTGTGCCTGAAGGACTGCAGCCCATGGGAAGGACCCATGTTGGAGAAGTTCGTGAAGAACTGTCTCCTGTGGGAGGGACCACATGCTGGAGCAGCAGGAGAGTGAGGAGTCCTGCCCCTAAGGAGGAAGGAGCAGCAGAGACAAGGTGTGATGAACTGACCCCAACCCCCATTCCCCATCCCCCTGTGCCACTGGAGGGGAGGAGGTAGAGAAAATGGGGAGTGGAGTTGAGCCAGGAAGGAGGGAGGGGTGAGGGGAGGCTGTTCTAAGGTTTGGTTTTACTTCTCAGTATCCTTGTTTTGATTTGATTGGTAGTAAATTAAATTGCTTTTGTTTCTTCCCCAAGTTGAGCCTGTCTTTTGCCCGTGACCGTAAGTGGTGAGTGATCCCTCCCTGTCCTTGTCTTGACCCACGAGCTTTTCTTTATATTTTCTCTTCATCACACTGGGGCTGGTGGGAAGGAGTGAGCGAGTGGCTTTGCAGTGCTTTGTTACTGGCTGGGCTTAAACCAGGACACCTTGCTAAAAGGGGAAAGGAGGACTCTTCAGAGATTAAATCATACTCTTGAGGGTGTTTACAACTTGGGTTGTATCCAGCCCCTCAGTTTGTATTTTGATATCTTGTCAGGAACTTGTATTTAGTGCATTGTAACCTAGTGGAAGGCAGCAGCTGAAGCCTCAGCACCCATTCTGCTGTGAGAAAGGTGTCCTTCTGGAGAGGTGAGAGTAATAGGTTGTCATGAAATGTTTAAGCTCAGCTGTTGGACCCCATACCTTTTGCCTATGATGGATGGGACCTGCAGTGGATTTATGGACACAAATCTGTAGGATTTGTAATTCAGCAGTCCTTAAAAGATTTTGTATGTCTTGGTTTAAGATATGTGGACTAGAAATAGAATAACCGATCTGCCTGTGGCAGTTAAATTTTGGGCAGATTTATTCCCTAATCCAGGTTCTGTATGCTTGGACAAGCTATGGTAGCACAAGGAAAGAAATGAAACTGAGCAGATGAGGTTTGATGTCTGCTGAAGTCATTTCATGCAGTGCTGCCACTGGATATAGAAGCATCATAATGTCTTCAAATAAGTAATGGTAGCCTCATCAGTCTAAACAGAACAGTTAATACTGGAATGCAGTCCGTCCATTCACTTGTTTATCTCTCCAAAGCTGTTTGACATAAGAGCTTACGACTGACGTAAGCAAAGCTGAAGTCCAGCATTCCACCCCCAGTTTGTATTTGATAGCCTTCCATTAATTTGACCTATCTTAATTAAATCCACTTTGTATAAATCTGTGCTCAGTTTGTAATTCAGCAAAAATAAACTTCACCAGCCAGGTTTAAATTTCTTCCAAGAAGTTACATGTATCTTCTGTTGGCATGCTTCCACTGCGAGAACCTCCTTACAGATGAGACGTTATCTCTGCTTGTAGAAATAGTCCTTCACAAGCAGTTCTGAAATGCCATTGCTTATGTGTAGTTTGTTTTGTTTTTAAAAAACGCTGCTTTGAGGTCACAGTGATGAGGCTATCTCCTCCTCCTCTTAAAATTCCCACTGTGGTGTGAAAGTGCTTTTCTGAAGGATTTTCTTCACTGACAAGGACAGAAAGATGCGAGGCAGCTGTAATCCCTAAGATCTGCTACAGCGGATAGTTCTGCTGGATGAACTGAATTTAACTTGTATGTAGTGTTATGCTAAAAGCGCTGTGTGGCTTCCAGGCTGGAGCTCTCCCCTATCTGGCTTGCTTGGATGCACTCAGGTAAACACGCTGTTCAAGTCATTTATCTCGGAGCAAGGCTGGAGGAGATGGAGTTTGTCTGTGTTTTGAACCTACGCTGTACAACCAAGCATGTCCTTGGTTCAGGAACACCATTCTCTTTTCCAGAGCTATGTGTGTGAAAGGAGAGGTGCTAGCGTAGCAAACTTTCCTGCAGGAGCATGGATGTTTATGCAGATGCCACACAGAAGATGCATGAGTTCGTACAATTACGGTAAGGCCAGGCAAAGGGAAAGGAACTTCCAAGGTAAATCCCTTACATTGTACTATTTTCAGATGTTAGTGTTTCACTGAGCATAGAGCCAGCCTGACTGTTATCGCCCAAAGGCAGGCATTTTGGAGACATCGTACAACAGAGATCTCTGAGGAGAAAAGGACAGGACCTGTGTACAACCTTCGAGTTAAAAACAAGGAGTTGATGGAAAGTGAACACAGTTCTCCCTTACCTCTTCTCAAAATACTACTGATTTCAGCCAGGAGCGCTAGGTATGTAGACATTCCACCCAAAAAGCATTGTTAAACAGCTAAAAACACCATTTCCAAATACATAATTAGCAGAAGTCTTTGAGATACGTACATACAATGAGAATGTAGATGCAATTTGTAGAAGTGAAGCATCTTAATTCACTGCATTCACAAATGGGGAAAAAAGTGTAAAGCCATTGAAAAGTTGAGTGAAATAACCAAAAAAAAAAAATCAATAGAAAGTAAGCCAGCTGCTGAGATTTCAAGCCATTTAATTTCTAAAAGCCATTGCAAATTATTGTCTGCAGACTCTTGGTCTGGCCTGGTGCAGTTCCCAAGGCAGGCTGGCAGGGAGTAGTCGTCTTCCCACTGCTGAAGCTGTTAGTTCTGCTGGGAAGTTAGTGTGAGTGTCTGTGTGTGTTCATCCATCTGTTGTCTGGCATAGCTTTGCAAAAACAAACAAAAAAAAAATTCAGCCAATTGGTTGAACAGTATTTGTGCCGTTTTGGAAAAAATAGTGTGATTTTCTCCCACTTTTAACAAGACAATGTGCAATGAGCTTTGTGAATTTGCCATGAAGATCTTTAACATATCTGAGCAATCCTGAGCTTCACCGAGCAGGTGCTTCCTCTTGGCCTTCAAGACCACAGATATAATTATACTGCAGTGATCTCTGGTAGAAGAAAATTCAGCAGTTTTTACTGTGCTGGGACCCTTATCTGACCTCTACCTTCTTACCCTTGCTCTTATGTCCAGAGTTAAAAGCAGCTGTAGATACTGCGCTGTATAGTTTTGCACAGCCTTGAAGAAAGCCTCTTTTTATATCTGCAAACTGAAAAAGGTGTAAGAAGGGCTGTCTGGTTATTTACCACACTTCAGCTAGGATGTTCCTGTAGGCCATTCTATTCAACTCTCCAGAAAAGATTAATCGGGAAACAGGAAGAAATAAATGTGTTCTGGAACTACTCAAGTTTTGAGTCTAGGGACCTGAAATTACTGGGAGCGTATGGTGAAGAAGAGGCAGAAAGACGAAGATACGTATTGCGTATTGCAGATGCTCTTCCTCTGATGGCTGTCTTAATTACTTTAAATAATATGGATCCTAAGCAACACATTTGTTTTGGCTGCAATTATGCTGTTCAGACAATTCCTTCCCTCTAGCACGTGAAGGTGTGTACTGCCACGCACTGTGCTTGGTGACTATGTCCTTTCTACTCAAGTTGTGGACAAGAGCTCCAATTCTACGTAAAGACTGGAAACACAAGTCAGGCATCTTTCACTTTCATGTCTGTAAATAATTACATGAGAAAGTTGTAGTTTGTGAAACCATGCTTCATTTCTACAGTTAGAGATGCAAATTCTCCCTCTCAACATACACGTCAACCTTGCTATGCATGAAGTATCTTCTTAAAAAAAAAATCAAAACAAAATGGCACCTGTCAATATGTGCTCAGAAAGTGTCTCCAAAACCATTGCTGGGCTTTGGTATTTGCTTTTGTGTGAAGCTGCTCAAAATAAAAAAAAAAAAAAAAAAAAAAACAACTTTTCTTTGCTACTTCTGCCATGCATCAAACACATTTCATTGCTGATCTTGCAAGTGTTACTCAAAAACAGCCTGTCATAGTAATGAATGTTAGGATTGCTTCACCCAGGTTCATTAGAAGACATGTTTATGCTCTTTAATCTGGAAAATGTCTACTCCAGGGCTGTTTTGCACTTGCTTGGCCAACAGTTAAATTTTCCCTTACTGCTCTTTAAGTGTCTGGTCTTTGAGCCAAAGAGCAGAGATTCTTGAGAACTGCAGTGGTTGTTGCAACCTTACTAAAAAAATACGCAAGTTAAAGGGGGAAAAATATAATCTAATTGCAGTTTTTCAAATAGTGTCATATCCCTAAATACCATCGGAAGTATTTTGGGCTGAGGCCACATCTGCACTAGAAAGCTTTACTGGTGAAACCTGCAGAATTTTTGTATTGTTTTCAGAGCTCAGTAACTCTTTTACACTAACTCCACGCATTTACCTTGTATGAGCTAGATTCAGTGTGAACGTATAACTACGTTTCTGTCAAGTAAGCAGAGCCAAAGTTTTCTGGCTTTCTGCTACCTGTGAGAGAAAGGTGAGGCCAATCCGGTAAAAATGTAGACTGACATGCAAACCATGTATGATACAGAAGACAGCTTGCTAAAACTAAGTTTAAATTCCTATTTTCTGTACCCTCATACCATGACTATAATTCTGCTCTGTTTTTTTGAACTTTCATTATCATAGCTGTTGTACAGTGGTATTTTATTTTTTTTTTAAGAAGAGGCAATGAAGATAGGGATAGTGAAAAGAAGTTAATTGTATGCTGCAGGCAGTGAGCAAATACCAGTAATGAAGAGGCCAGCTGGGCAAGCAAGACATGATTCAGTTCGTGACACACAGGTGAGATGTGGTTAGAAGAAGCTGCGTTATTAGAATTAATGCAAAATTGTGCCAGCTTCTATGGCAAGTGAGAGCTACTATGGCTATAGCTCACGATAGCTCTTACAAAGCCTGTAATTCTTGAGAACTTACCTTTTGGCAGCAGAAAATTTATGACCAGAAAGTATAGGATGAATTGAGTATTACCTAGGTGTGCTGGGAAGAAATGGTTTTAATTTCATTTAATTGGCTGGGGATCATTAGAGAAAAAAAAGATGACTATCCTGATTGTGGGCTTTCTCTGAAGGAGGCACTTTTTTTGTAATTTTTAAACTTTCAGTTGAGGCATCATGATAGGGATTGTTGTAGTATACTGAAAACAGACTATTTCCTGTAGAGCTGAATCAGAATATGCAGATTGCATCTGAACAAGCAGAAATATAATACATAATAATATAATAACACTCTCAGGGGTAACCGCATACTTAGAAACTGAATTCATAGAACAAAAAGAACTGTTTGAGAACAGTGCTATTTCCTTTGCTTTCTATCTTACTAATGTCAATAAGTTTTATTAGATTAAGAATGTTATTTCTCTTTGCTGATTGTTTTAACCTTAATCTGACAACAGCTGATGTGTTTGCTGATCTGAGAAGCAAGAAAAGTGCCTCTTGAAAAAAGGAAGAAAACTCTAATCTGGTTCTACAAGAGAAACACCCCATTCTCATTGCTACCATATCACATGTTGAGTACCAAACCTGCAGAAATCCGAAGGTTATATTACATTCCAAATATAATACCTTTTTAAATATGAACGCTTGCTGCTTGTGGAGATAAAATCACTTTACCTAGAGGTAACCTAGGTGTAACTTCACCACTTTGCCATTGCTACTGTGATAGCTACGTGCCATGTCCAAGAAGAAGCACCAAGGCACCCTACCTTCCCTGGGACGGGATGGACAGGCAGGCAGGACGCATGATAGGGAGGATTCCCAATCCTCTCTCTGCCTGGCTGAACGCGGTGACTTGAGAGAAAGAGGGGAACGACGACAAGTTCCTGCCCGGCGCAGCGGGGGCACCTCCTCCATCACCACCCCACCTCCCCAGGTGTCCTTGTCTAATTGTTGTGAGGCTCTGCAAGCAGCACCGAACGTTCACGAGGACGACAGTTCATCTAGCTTGGAGCTGTCGATGAGGTTAAGTCAGCCTATGCCCTGTGTTAAAACTGCTTCCATAAAGAAAAAACTGACGGGTTGTTGTCATAGGCTCTCTCCTGAGGGGAACAGAAGGCCCAATATGCCGACCGGACCCGCTTCTTAGGGAAGTCTGCTGCCTCCCTGGGACCTGGGTTAAAGATGTGAGGAGAAAACTTCCTACCCTGGTACGGCCCTCGGGTTATTACCGATGATTAATTTTTCAGTTAAGCAGCAAAGAAGTTGCAAAAAGAAGTCTGAGGGCAATCAAGAGAGAGTTCTGTTCTGTGAGGTCTGTCAGTGTCTTTTCCCAAGTAAAAAGTGATGAGACAAGAGGAAACAGCCTCAAGTTGCAGCAGGGGAGGTTTAGATTGGATATTAGGAAAAATTTCTTTACTGAAAGGGTTGTCAAGCATTGGAACAGGCTGCCCAGGGAAGTGGTGGAGTCACCATCCCTGGAGGTATTTAAAAGACATGTAGATGTGGTGCTTAGGGACATGGTTTAGCGGTGGGCTTGGCAGTGCTGGGTTAATGGTTCGGCTCAATGATTTTAAAGGTCTTTTCCAACCTAAATGATTCTAAGACTCTAAGGCCAGAAGATGACAACGCTGCCCAGTTTTTATGCATCTCTTTGTGAAGTGTCCCACCAGCCTTTGGTCCACAAAGGCTGCAAAGGTATTTTTATTTAAAGCTGTGCTTGCGTTCTGCTGTAGGAGTTCTCCAGGTTGTTTCTAAATTACTGTTGTAAAATGTCAGTATCTACCAGATCTTGCAGATGAATAGATCTCACTGCCTCTGTGGAAACACCAAGCGTGTGCAATTAAAAACACTTAAAACTTCCACTTACTAAAGCATAGCAACCTCAGGGCATTATCCAACCTTATTCAATACCGATATGAAATATTATCTAATGCCGTGTCATTTCATGAAATGTAAATTTACGTCGTAATAGCCTGCCGTGGGGTTTGAATCGGCCGTTGAAATACCACGTGCTCTTCGTGGATTAAAGGGCCGCGCTGGTGGCTGCAATCCTTCATCGTCCGATCACGGGAATGGCTGGGTTTTTTCCTTCTGTTTTGGCTATTTTCTGCTGTTCGACGTGGGCAGCGCTTCGCTTCCGCGCCCCGGGCCGCAGGTTCGC